CAACCACAGGGACTGGTCCTGGCACCAAAAAATGTTAATGGTGAAAGGAACCATAGGAGAACAAAAATAGCTCACTACAGAATATTTATTTAACATAAGTTAGAAAGGAGCAACAATAAAAGTAACATGTAACTGTGTGTCACCACACAGGCATGTGGGTTCACGAGGGTCTGTGGAATGGAGACTCAGAGGCATCTTAAGAACAGCCTTTCATGGCTGCAGGGGGGTCCAGCAAAGTTCCCTTTGCCTAGGGCATTTTTATTTATTCTCTGTTACAGTTTAGCCAGTTAATTTCTGTACCATCAAAACACCCTAAAAGGAGCTCCCAAAGACCAAATGCCAAGTGCAAGTTACTTGATTTATCAGGTACCTCGGTTTTCTAGGTTTCCTGAACCAAGTTCTGCACAGGCCTTTGATCCTTGGGGGACTCTTTGATCCTTGACTCTCAGACAAGATTCACATAGGGTGAGAGGAGAAACAAAAGGAAAGAGAAACAAAAGGTGTGGTTAAACAAAGGAAGGATTAGGGCTAGGTGCTGCTCTCAGGAACCAGGCCGGGAGCTCAGCAGGAATGCCCTACAGTAACACAGATAAAACACAGAAAAACAGCAAACAAAAATTCTTACATCATCAGCAATCACATTAAACATATATGGATTAATAGCTCCATTAGAAGCAGAGATTAGCAAAATGTAAAGGGAGAAACAGATTATTGCTATTTGCAAGTGGCATAATCTTCAATAAAATCCAAAGAACCAAACAAAATCCTATTCAAGCTAATAAACAAGCCAGCTCAGTTACAGGAGACACAGTCCACACAGAACATTCAGTGCATTTTTGTTCACTAGAAACCACCAAAGCAAAGATGCACACTGGTAAGCCCGGCAATCTGGAGGCTGAGGCAGCAGTAGTTCAAGGCCAGCCTGCCTGGACTACATGGAGAGACCCAAAACAAAAGGAACGGAGGGAAGGGAGGGAAGAGGGAGGAAAAGACAGCAGGGAGGAAAGAAGGGAGGGAAGGGGGAAGGAGAGAAGGAGGAGAGAGGGAAAGAGGGGGAGGAAGGGGGAAAGGAGCAGGGAGGAAGGAAGGGAAGGAGGGAGGAGAGAAGGGAAGGAAGGAGGGAGGGGAGAAAAGGAAAGCAAAACAGAACTGTGGTGATTTGAATGAGAAATTTCCTCCCATGGGCTCATGTGTTTGAACACTTGGTCCCCAGTTAATGGTGCTGTTTGGGGGTCCGCTAAGGAACCTTTAGGAGGTACAGCCTTGCTAGAGGAAGCACATCACTGAAGGAGTGTTTTGAGGATCTTGTAGCCTCACCACACTTGTCCGTTCCCTCATTCCTTCCTGTGTGTGGATGTCATGTGACCAGGCAGCCTTCTGCTGCCCCCGTGCCTCCCCAGCCATTGCAGACTCTATCTCCCTGGAGCTGAAAGCCAAAATCAACCCTTTCTTAAGCTGCTTCTGGTCAAGGTGTTCTAGCGCAGCAACCGGAAAGAGCTAAGACAAGCTCCAAAGCACCATTCCATATATGACGTCATCGAAAAGAAGCAGATGATTGACAATAAACTGGACAAGAACAGGCTCGACTTATAGACTGAAAACGCCAACGTATCTTCTAGAGAAACTAAAGACCTGAGAAGATGGAAAGACAGCTGTTGTTTGTAAACTTGAAGACAATATTGTTAGAATGACAGTATTTCCCATTTTGAACAGCAGATTCAGAACAAAATCCATGCAAATCTGAGTTGCCTTTATACAGAAGCTGACTATCTAATCCTAAAATTATATCAAGATATGCAAATGGACCCAGAGTAGCCAGAACAATCTTTAAAAAGAACAAGATTGGAGAACTCTACACTTTTAAAACTTACTACAAATATCCAGCAATCAATCAGGGAAGTGTGGAAACCAGTATTTCCATTTGGCAGTGTCATGGAAAAATTAAATATAGAATTACCATGTGAATCAAAATTCTACTTCCAAGAATGTAACCAAGGGGAAAGGCTCATCGCACTCACATAGTAAAACTGTTCATCCTATCTAAAGAGCAGAAGCAACCCAAATGTATGTCAAGTGACAAAGGGACAAAATATGGGGTGTGTGCAGCAGAGTACCCAGCCATAACAAGAAATGACTGGGTCAATGGTCAGTCACAACAGAGACATGCCTTTCAAAACATTATTGCAAGTAATATAGCTAGATATAAAAAGTGCACGCATGATTCCACTCATATTCATGTTTCTCTGTGTGTGTATGCACATGTGTGTAACGAAACTTACAGTCTTGGCATGCTGGGCACCAAGTCCCTGTACACCAAGCTACCTCCCCTAGTTCCATTTATGTGAAAGGCTGAGAACAGGCGGATGTCAGTGGAGGGAATAATAAAATTAGAAGCTCTCATTGTCGCCCGTATTTCCTTGATTTCAATGAATCTTTTGGACACTGACTTTTATTCTGAGGAGAAACTCTCGAACAAACCTTTCTGACCTCTTCTTGGGGTTGGGGTGAGAATTCTGCCTCAGTTTCCCAAGTGTGAAGTAGAGGGAGCAGAAACAAAATATTCAAGTTGAGGTCCCCTTGCTGGGCTCTGTGAGGAGAAGCACTGTATTCCTCTTTGACTGGTCTCTTAGTGTCCCCTTTTCATCAAAGTGACTCAAAGTTAGGATGAAGGTCTGGAGAGAGTCACTTAGGAAGACACTGCTCCTCAGAAACACAGAAATCCATCTAGTGTTTCAGAGTCAATGTCAGGGTGAGGACTGAAGAGTCTTCCTAGTACGTCTCTTCACAGACAACCTTCAGAACCAGACACAGAGCCTAGAATGCACTAAGCCATGGGTTCAATGTCAAGAACAAGAAAGGGGAAGAGAAGCACACAAACAAGAGCTACACAATACCATGATGTGACACAGCCAAGAAATTCTTTCTAGAAGTTATGTCATGCTTTTCTGATATCCAGCCTCTGAAATGGTAAAATGATTAAATGATTTTTTTTCTTTATCTTTTAACCTACCTCTGACATCTCATTATAGTTATGGAAAGCTGCATAACAATACACATGGTGACCCATCAATCCCAAGTCACCTGCAAGACTTTCTCATCCTCCCCTCCTCCCCTGCCAGCCTTTGGGCACTGCAGAGGGGTAGTCAGCCCTCAAAGGCTAGCAGAAAGCTAGTCCTACTGAAGCCCAATCAGCTGTTACTTTTGTTCTGAATTAACAATTCAACATTCCCGAAATCAATGAATAGCTTCAAGATTCTTTTTTTTTCTTTCATTCATCATCATCATCATCATCACTGCTTTTGTTTTGTTAGGTTGGGGTTTGGAGGGGGATATTTTTAATTTGGTCCTAGGATCCCAATGTGGGACTGTGAATGCCTGGCCTCTGTGGGCAAAATCACTCATGTATCCGTGAAATTAAAAAAAACAAAAACCTTGAATTGTATGCCTTGTGCGTGTAGGCAGGATGGAGCTTTGATTATCTTCACGGAGGAATCTGTTTCCCAAAGTGCTTCAGAAGCACCACAGTGGTTTGATAAGATGAACCTGTCTCTCAGATCCAGGCTAGAGGGCATCTCAGATTTCAGAGGATGTGTGTTGCCACCAGACCCGTGGACGGGAACGTCTGAATTTGCCACCGTTTCGACACCACTCACCTTGCCAAGTCGTTAAGATCCAAACGGCCATCTTTGTTTTTGTCAAAGATCTTCATCTGAAAGGCAAAAAGGAACATGGATGTGACAAATACTTGTACCAGGAATTGATCTTGACAGGTTTGTTTGTTTGTTTGTTTGTTTGTTTGTTTAGACAGGGTTTCTCTGTATCGCCCTGGCTGTCCCAGAGTCCCAGATCTTGTTCTGTAGACCATTCTGGCCTGGAACTCACAGAGATTGTCCAGCCTCTGCCTTAGGAGAGCTGCAATTAGAGGCATGCACTATCGCCACCCAGTGATCCTAAAGTTTTTAAGGCACCTCTCTAAAGCAGCTGAGTTGAAGAACACACCTACCTGGGGGAAATGAGTATCTGCCACCAAGTGACTGGCAGCTCAGCTTCTAGTTGGGACAGGTCACAGTGACCAGTCCTCAGTGTGTTATCACAGTACAGGTCCCTGTCTTGTTCCTGTGACCGAGATCCAAGGCTAGCTGGCGCCTCTCCCTCACAGCAGCTAATCTATGGCAGCATTCCTGGTTGCCACGGTAGAAAGAAAACGACAGCTCATTTACTGATTAAAATTCTGTTATTCCCAAGCAAGCTACTGGCCACATCTAAATTCAAAGGAGTGGAGCAGTCAGCCCTGCCATGTGCTTGGAAGGAGAGATGCAGCTATTCAGGGATGGCAGCGATGACTGCTGTGTTTCCAGGAGGGGAACTAAGACTGCACAGTGATGACAGCTTGAAATCTGGTGTTTCGCTTCGAGTCAGGGTTTTATTGAAGTATTTTATATGCACCTACGGCATCTCAGCAACCATCTTAGAGAAGATGCCTCATTGAGTAGAGCAGAGGGCAAAAGACATCCAGCATTGTCCAAAGAGCCCACTTGCACTATTAGCCTGTACAAAACTTTAGGAAAGGTAGTATTGAGGTAAAAACCTTCTGTTCTAAGCTCTCAGGGTTTAGGCATGTAGAGGGGACACACTTCTTTACATATAGCAGTGGGAATGTGACTTCAGATTCTAGCGCTCCAGAGTATCTGTGGACAGATCTTGTGAGGAGCCTGCGCAGGCAAAGGAGGCATGAGCTCATTTGAATATATATTAGTTTTAGATCCTTTCTACTCCAAGTTCAGTTTACTTTTAGTATTTGATATTAATTTGAAAGTCTATTCTCCCCAACTTTGGCATAAAAAAATGGTCTATTATAGAACCTACTGAAACAGGGGAAACTTATAATAGTACGTTCCTGTAATCCCTGTACTGAGGAAACTGACGCAGGAGGATCAGTGCAAGTTCAAGGTCAACCTGGGCTACATAGTAAGACTCTATCTCATAAAGCAAAAACAGAGATGTCACAGATGGCCCAGGCGTGTCTTGGGACTTCTTACATGTCCTATCATATCCCTTAAATATATATGCTGTGTCCAGTCAGATAATGGCACTTTTTGAGGGTGTCCCACAGCTCACTCTTTGTGATGCTGCATTACAGGGGCTTCTAATAGAAAGCAAGGTTAGATTGATCCCTAAGAAAACAGTAACCTCACCTTGAAGGACGTGGGCCTGACTCCATTGCTGGGCAAACTCAAAAGGAAAACTTTCTAGGCTGAGAAGTGCTTGAGGAAGAACTGGACACCAGTGTGGTCAGTTAGACGCCCACCATCTGAACACTGCCTTCGAGGTTTACTTCAGATCAGAACTGGAGAACTCAATTGGCAAAGTGCCTATTGTATAAGCATGAGGGCCTGGATTCACCCTCCAGCACCCATGTCAAAGCTGGGCTATGAGTACACACATCTGTAACCCCAGTGCTCATCCAGGCCTGGGAGGCAGCAGACACAGAGTACTCAGTAGCCTGATGGCCAGCTAGACTGGCATGTACAGCTGTGCACAACAGAGGACCTTGCCTCCCACAGGGCGGAAGGTGAGGACCTGACCCTGGAAGTTATCCTGTGACCTCCTTATGAGTGCAATGTCGTGGGGAGTACCTGCAGTTACACACTAAGAAGCCTGCATATGAACATACACGTGCACGCATGCACACACATGCACACACACACACACACACACACACACACACACACACACACACGAGATGTAAAACACACAGACACTCTCAGAGACTTGTCTTGTAGGTGATGGTAAGTTGACAGTGATCAACCGTCTCATGATAATGACACCCTTAGTGAGAAGACAGCTTTCTGAGCAGAGGTTGGGAAGAAGTGGGTCAAAGTACCATGCATACCTAGGTGAAAGGTATTGGGCAGAGATGGGAGCCAAGCAACCTGTGGCACAATACTTAGCCGGCCAGTCTATCAGAAAGTGGAACTGGCAGTAGTGTAGAAAGTTCCGGGTGGCATTACACAGCACCATCCATCCCCCCCCCCCCCCCGCCCCCAGATCAAGCATTCCATCTTGGAAGGAAGCTCTTGAAGACTCACATTGTTCTAAAAGGAGATGCAAAACATCCCATTCTGCAGGAAGCTCCTTAAAACTCAGGAAGCAACAACTCAATTGCTTCAGAAACTCCCAGAAACAGACTAGATTCACAAGGCCCATCTTTCCTCAAGCTTATATAAGCAGGGGGATGCCGAGAGACACTCTCAGACTAGCCGAGCCACCTAGACTTCTAGAACAGCCAAGCTGCCTGGAAGAAGCAGAGACCAGCCGTGCTGCCGAGGAGGGAGGCTTAGACTTTGGAATTGCCTGAAAACTGTGCAGAGAGCTGGGCGTTGTGGCCTTTGTGAGTCATCCCCCGTGTTGGAGTGGGCTCTTCAGTGACGCAGCTGTCTTTGAGTCATCCCTGCTCCTGGAAAGCAGCCACTCACCTGTACTCTGGTCATATAAAAACTCATTGGATAACCAGGTTGGAACCTCGTGCAATTGTTACTTTGGCCTGCTAGAGTTCCCTTTCTAGAGTGAGCAGACATGTGTGTTTTGTCTCCCCAGGAAGAGTCTATCACACAACATGTGGAAGTACATAAAAAGGAGATAAACTGGGACGGGTGGCTTGGTAAATAAGCAGGTAGCAATGCCTTGTCATTTTCTCTGAAATACGGTAGTCACTGGAGGGTTTAAACTGAACTGTGATCTGGCTTACGGCATGATGGGATCACAGGCTGCTCTGCTCAACCCAGAGCATAGAAGGTGAGAGTGAAGGAATGAAACCTCTTCCTTCGCCCATCATTATGGCTTAGAACAGGGTGGGAATGGCCAGGTTCATGACGTCATTTGAATATAGCTGCTATTATGTTGTGAGTCTCCCTTAAAAGAACACATGCTGGAAGCTTAGTCTCCAGGGGGCAACGTTGAGATGGGAAAGTTTAGCTTGGTCTCCAGTGAACCAGTTTTGAGTGGTGGAAAGTTTATGAGGTGGGACCCAGGCAAGTGGTTAGCTCATTCTGAGGGCTTCGTGTAGGTCTTTTGTGACTAGGATCCAGGAAGAGTGAGTTGGTAGGAGAAGAATGAGCGTGGCCTCGGGGTGTCCTGCTTCCGTCTCACTCTGTTCTGTTTCTCATACACTTTTCCTGCCATTGGGATGCATCTGCCATGACTTCCTCACCAGGAGCCAGCCAAAGAGGTGAGGACTGGCCAACCTTAGATTCTCAGTTTTCCTAAACTGTCAGCTAAATAGACCTCTTTTGTTTTCACACCACTGTGCTTCTAATATTTTGTTAATAGTGACAGGAGCTAAATTACTATAGTAGTGGACAGGATTTGCTAATTAGATGTACAGTATCAGAGAAGGCATCAAGACTGATTGTCTCGACACATCAGTCAAGAGGAAGGGAACCAGAAGCAGAGGAAGTTGATGAGACAAGGTCAGAATTTCCATTTTGGACATGCTAAGTTTGAGATGTTGGGTATAAAAGTTGAGACACATGTCCACGTGTGCCCAAGAAGTTCAGAAGAATGGTTTGAGTCAGAGACATAATGCTGTCTGGCATCAGCTTGCATTTTAAACTGGTTAGCACCATCAGCATGTAGAAAGTAGACAGACCGAGAAAATATCCCATAAATGAGTTCAGAGGGTCTCAGATTAGACGGACTTCGTGCAAGTCATAAGGCCAGCTTAACCTCATAGAAATTTCTTTAATGGTCAAAGTGTCAGAATTTCATTTGATGTTTTGTGATAGTAACTCCCAGAGTCATTAGTTTGCATTGAGCACAATTAAATATCATCTAATGATATTGTATCTAGATACACAGTCTCTCCTCCTGCCTGGAGCTGGTAGCATCCTTTCCTCCCTTCCTCCTCCAGAACATTAATTAGGAATCAGGACAGGACACAGTGTGCAGGCCTGAGCCTTTCTCTTGTGACTGGTTGTCACCCTCAGCTCATTTGTGAGCCACGCTTCACACAGCTGTCAATGCGGCCATTCTCATTAGGGTCAATTTGAAGTCGTCTGATAGGATACATCTCTTAAGCAAAGCATTGCATGCTAAACCTCGAAAGAAAATCTTCAGTGTATCTTTAAAATGATTGTGTTCATCTCCCAGTAAGAAGGCATTAAAGCAGCAGAAATGTGATTCACTTGTGGAGAATCGCTCAGCCCTCAGGAGGTACGCAGTTTCCTAGACTTGGGACTCCAGGTGAAACTAGCATTGAAGGACGGAGAGGAAACTCGAACTCAGCTCCTCTTACTGGTCGATGCTTTGTGGTGGAGACATTCACAGTGGGGGTAACAGGAATAATCACAGCATTCTGGTCCTCTCCAGATTTCCCCTGACAAAGACTCAAAGGCTGAGGCAGGGGCTGCATCTTCCTTCCCAGCTCCTCCCTAAACACATGTCAGTGGCAGAACTCACATCTTCGCATGAACTCATTTACCAGATCAAATTTAACCATAAGGAAAAAACATCAGCAGAGTGATGTCCCTCAGTAGAAAAGGGCATCTTCTGAGTCACTTTGAGAGCTGCATGATCATTGAGGAAAGGAGGACATTTAACACCATGGCTCTGAAACACCCCATTGCCATTCCTAACGTTCTTGACATTCAATAGGACAATGAATATTGGAAGAGACCAGAGAGTGACTCCCTTTAATGTTTGAGGGCTGAAGCAAACAAGTGTTCTGGGATAAATCTTTTTGTACACTGTGAAATGTGTCTTTGCCTAAGGCACCTTCTGATTGGTTTAATAAAGAACTGAATGGCCATTAGCTAGACAGGAGAAAATAGGTGGGACTTCCTGACAGAGATGAACTCAGGGTTAGAACCTAGGTGCACAGAAATGCCAGAGAGATACAGACTAAGTCAGACATAAAGAATGGAGGGGAGGATAAAAAAAAAGCCATGTGGCAACATGTATATTAGTAGAAGCACGTTAATTTAAGTTATTAAAGCTAGTTAAGGACAAGCCTAAGCTAACGGCCAAGCTTTCATATTCAATAAGAAGTCTCCATGTCATTTTTTGGGAGCTGGCAATTGGCAATCCAAAGATAGTCCAACAAGAAAGCTAGCTACAAACGAGAATTCCCTGTGAGGATATGAGGTCATCTGTTCCTTGGAAGGTGGGCATAGGGAACAGAGTAAGTTAAGGCAATGATATCACAAGGCCTTCCCTGTGGATGGAGTCAAGGTATCCTATACAGCCCTATATCAATACTTTGTCCCGCCCCCTTTCTCTCCCCTTAACATCTCATAGTGTCTTATCTCTGACAACATTCTTCCCATGTCTATTGCAACTTGACTATGAAGATCACACACGCACAGTCCAAAGAGAAGAGCAGAGACTCAGTTTAAGGAAACAAACTGTGATATGAATCCTGGCCCACCGGGACATGTCCTTAGCCCGTTCTTTGTGTCAGCCCTGCCCGAGGGAGTCATCAGGGTTCATAACCGGTGCTCAGGATTTTTCTGCCTGAGAATCTTTCTGCAGCAAAGGACCCCAGAAAGAGTCATAAATAGTGGAATTTGGACCTGCCAGGTGCCATGTCTACTTGGCCCTGGAGCTTTAAGTTTAAGGGAAGGGAAAAACTTGAGACACAGGACATCCTCCATGTGAAATGTGCAGGGTCATGAGGAACTATACAAGCAAGGGATATAGGAAGGTCCCCAAGAGAATCATTACTTACTCTACTGTGGTTCAGTCATAGCTCATTCTTAGCTAACAACTGAAAATTCAGTGCAATTTATATTAAGCAGCCTGCTGAGTGTCAGACTTCTGTGAGGGCAAGGACTTGGAGATAAGATGCTGCTGTGGGCTATAGCGATGCTATGTGATGGTGAGCTTTAATTGTCAACTTGATACAGCCTAGAATCACCTGGGAAGAGTCTCAGTGAAAAATTATCAACTTTTGGGCTGGCCTGGGGCATGTCCATGGGGCACTATCTAAATTAATATGGAAAAACCCAGCCCACTGTGAGCAGTACCATTCCTTAGGCAGGGGTTCCTAGCCTGTATAAAAGTACAGAAAGTGGTACCAGCCATAGTGTGCCATGGTGCTTCAACAGTAAACAAACAAACAAAACAAAATGGTAAACAGACTAACCCTTTTTGTCAATAATAAAGAAGTCTGAGTTTCATTTAAGAGAAAACAAGCTAGGCACAAGCAAGCAAGTGAGCACAGAATCACAGCCATTTCTCTCCGCCCTTGACTGTGGATGTGGTGTGACCAGCATTTTAAAGCTCCTGCCTTGACTGCCCCACAAGATAGTCTGTAACCTTAAATTTTAAGCTGAAATAAGTCCCTTTCTCCACTAATTGTCCTTTTGTTGGGACATTTTATCACAGCAACATAAATAAGGCTAGCATACCCTCAGTTCCCTACTGTGCTGGCTCTACGTTTCCACTCTGTCATGCAATGTAATATGGTGATATTTTATTGTGCTGAAATGTGATTTTATTTGTATGTTAATAAATAAAGTTTGCCTGGAGATCAGAGGTCATAGCAAGCCAGGAACAGCAGTCAGGCGGTGGTAGCCCACGCCCTTAATCCGATCACATGGCAGGCAGAGTCTCTGTGTGGTCAAGGACACAGCCAAGCATAGTGAGATAAGCCTTTAATCCTAGTACCAACCATAAAGTCCTGGAAGTCTGTATAGACAGGCGGTGACGAGGAAGTCATGTGGTTGGGTTTAGTCAATGAGAAGGCAGAACAGAAAGGCAATAAAAACACAAGTCAGGCAGGAAGAAGGTCTCTCTCTCTCTCTCTCTCTCTCTCTCTCTCTCTCTCTCTCTCTCGGGAAGCGAAGGCAATGAGGTGGTAAGATAAGGTAGTCGTGACTCTCTGATCTCTTTGGCTATTTACCTCTGTATTTGGCTCTGTGTTTCTTACTTACTAAGACTGTTTAGAATTTCGTCTACAATATAATTTTTTATTTATTTTATGTGTTGTTACTGCCCAGCTCCTCTTTCCATTTTTCTCACTGTTGACTCCCCAGTGACTAGACTCCTGCCTGGGGCTTGATAAGCACTTAATGACCGTTTGCCGGGTGACTTAGGCGAATGACCGTGATGTTAAGGTGGGGACATGCACAATAGGCTAGACAGAGTGGTACTGGGCTCACTATGAAAGGAGGTTGTAAGGATTTCTTAGGGAAAGATAACATCTAGCTGAATATTGAAGGATGTGCCAGAACCAGGGGAGGGGGAGAAATGTAGACAAAGAACAGCTGAGATCTATAATGAAGCAGAAAGCAGAGATTGGAATTGTTAACTAGAGGTGGACAGGAGCCCTCTGCTCAAATAGCTTCAAGCTGGAAGAAATGCCAGAAAGCTGCTAGAGATTGAAAATGCAAATCTATTCATTGTGTAGTTCATGTTTTACAAATTAATTAAATTGAGATAACAACAGACAGGCTAACATTCTGTTCAACTGATGTCTTAAATATGTTCAAGGCTTCCTAGTCTGGCCCCTTGAAAGATGCAAACTAGTTCCTTTTTCGTGTCTATTCCATGACAGATCTTCACTGGCACTTAGGTCAGAAGGATCTCAGGGGCTCTTGAATAGGGCACCTGCTTCCCACCCCTGGGAGATCTCCACCCTCCCAGGGCTGAGCCTGTGTCTGCTCGGGATTCCCAATATCATCCTGCATTCAGTTAGAACAAATAAGCCAAATGCTTCCTAGACGTCCTGTCTGGAGTCTGGTTCTCCCTTGAGCATCATCTTTTCTTACTTACAGGTCATCATGGTCAAGATAGCTTTCATTTTTTCCCTGGGAAGACTCAGAGTGGCCAAGGTCGAGAGTGACATTCTGGAGGGGTCCAGGGTTGACATCTAGGAAGCTGAGTTTGTGGTGCCTTTGGCTGAGAAACTTGGTTTTTCGTAGTTAGCTGATCTTTGAAATCAGTTTCAGTATTTGAGCAACCCAATTAAAAGCCCATATACAGTGCCAGGAAGACAGGTCAGTGGGTAAAATAGTTCTGCAAGTACAGGGACCTGAGTTTAATCCCTAGAGCCCACAGTTTAAAAGACAGGGGTGGCAGCATGTGTGCAGTCCTAAATAAACTTGAGGGTCCCTGGGATGACTAGTCAGTCAGCTTAGCCAACTAACCGATAGACCTCAGGTCAGTGAGAGATCCCCATTTTTATGGGATGGTTCCTGAGGAATGACACCTGAGGTTGACTTCATGCCTTCACATGCATATGCATGCCTCCACCCCAGGCACAGATATGCTCATGCGCGCGTGCGCGCGCGCGCACACGCACGCGCACACACACACACACACACACACACACACACATAGTGGCCCACATTTTAGAAACCCACATACTGTTGTCATTTGGATATGCTCCAACTTCTCATAAGCTCTGCTCAAGAATTGTTTGTATAAATATAAATGTAATATGGAGACACTGGTTAAAAAAAAAGAGAGAGAAGTGATATAAATACAGTATTCATGTCTGAAATTCTAAAAAGCATTAAATTAAAAATATAAAATAAATGTGACGCTTCTACAATACTCAACTAAGACTGTCTATAAGTCACTTGCTTACTAATTAAGAAATCTGCAGATGTAATGAGAATGGAACACAGCCCTGGAGACAGGAAGAGGCTGGCATGGCAACAGGCACACTTCAGCACGAACTGCTGGGAGCCTTTAGTGAACACTGAAACAGAAAGCAATGATGAGCCCACCAGAGGCAACTTTTCCCCATCTAACAACTTTCCAAGGAGCTTGACCTGAAATCATCTCATGGTTATTTAGGCCAAGAATTCCTTAAGAAGAGTGTGAAATAACGGCATGACCTGCACTAAAAGACGATGACTCCAGGGCACCTGTGCTCTCCGTGGAATGCACAATGCTTCTTCAACATCAACTCGCTTTGTCCTGACATACCCAGGCACCAGTTTATCACTTTCCTAGGTCACGGCCACAGGAAACATGTGCGTTTCCATCTGCATTTCCTCTGCTCTGAGCCCACAGGCTCAGTGAATGAATCACCACGGTGGTGGGAGGCCATGTCCACCTGTTGGGTCCTGATGGCACAGGTTCATGTCTACTTGTCTCTGTGTTCCTTCGATGACCATTGAGTTTGCTAGCAAGGAGCTTAAAAGCCTAGTGTTTTCCGGACATTCCTGGTCTCCCCAAAGACAGCTGAGCAGCCCTCTCTCTGAAATGCATGCATCTGACAGAGGCTACAACAGCTCAGTTTTAGCCACTGTTGCAGAGCCAGGCTCTCCCAGGCAGCCATCCATCAGCAAACATTTCCTGGGGAAATGAGGAGGCCAGGGCAGGCTCCCCCACAGGCCCACGCTCCCTCACTCACCATGGTGCTGGTGTACTCTTCCAGTTCAGCCTCGGAAACAGCCTTTTTGTGGTGGAGGAAAAGATCCCGGAGGAAGTTCTGTGACACCAAGAGAAGAGTGAACATAGTGAGCGGATAAGACACCAACCTGTCTAGGGTCTTTTCTGTTGGGCTGGGGATTGTGACCTGTTTCATGGAGGAAATAAAATGCTGTTAAATAAGCATAAAGCATAAGCGTGGAGGGCTGCCATTGAAGGAGCTCTTGGAAGCCAGAGAGGAACTCCAAGCACTAAACATATCGTAAAAGCTCCATTCACCTCTTTGCCAAGGACAGCAGCATGACAACCAATGTCTAAACCTTTATTTATTTTCTCATTTATTTACTCAATTTTTTATTATTGTGCTGTATGTGTGTGCACACAGACACATGCATATAACATGTAGAGGTGTGCAAGAGTGTGTGAAAATCAGAGGACAACTCTATGGAGTTGTTTTTCTCCTTTCATCTTTACGTGGTTCTAAGGATTGAAGTTGGGTTGTCAGGCTTTTGTGTTTCCTGGCTGAGCCATCTTGCCACTTTCTAAATCTTAACATAAATACGCTCTTTTTTAAGTAATAAATTCAAAACCATGCATCTTGGGCCCACAGAAATCAAACTCATGGATAGATAGATATAGGTATAGGTATAGATAGAGACATAGGTATAGGTATAGGTATAGATATAGATAGATATAGGTATAGATATAGAGAACACCCACTGTTATTTCCCCCCGACACTTACGCAAAGCTCAGCAGCTGATATGAAGCCGCTGCTGTCCGCATCGTATTTGCGCCAAATCTGAAACACACAAAAGCCATTCGTCTCAAGCCTTAGCTGCCTGACTTCTTGTAATCTGACAAGAAGCAGCCTAATGGAGGGTTTATTTCAGCTCACAGTTCAAGAGAACACAGTCCTTCATAGTGGGGAAGGCTTGGCTGTGGAAGCTCAAAGCAGCTGGTCACATTATAGCCACAGTCAGGAAGCAGAGAATGGACAAAATACGGGGCCAGGCTACGAAACTTCAAATCCCAGGCCCAGTGATCCACTTCCTCCATTCAGGCTCTACCTCCCGAACAATGCCACCAGCAGGGACCAAGAGTTCAAACCTGTGAGCCTAGGGAGGACATCTCACATTCAAACCACACCACTGTACATCCTCAGATAGTTCAGAGTTGGCTTATACTGGATTCCTGTGGGTCGGCAGCTGAAAATGGTCGCTGCCTGGATGCAAACAGACATTTTCCGGGGAGTTCAAGACTTGCTGTGGGGAGAACAATTGTTTGGGTAGAACTCAGCAGAGATGGAGATGCATCCCTGAGATCTCTCAGCGCCACTCCAGAGGACCATGCCTCCCTCCTTTGGAAAACTCAAAATGGAAACCGAAAACAAGAGACTTCTACTGGGAACAGGTACGTAAAGCAGAAATATCTTCTTTGCATTAAAAAGTCTAAAAATGAGAGACACTATGCAAATACTTGTTTAAATATAGAGCTGAGCTGTCACACACGTGAGAGAAGTCCTAAGAGACCCCACAGGACAAAGAACCCCAGTTCCAGGAAGGAAAGAAATGACTGGAACCAAATGTGTCCTAGGCATGTCTGTTGAGCTCTGACCACACAGACAGGTGTACTCGGAGAACTGTGCTCCTGGGAGACAAATCTGAGACAACACAATGTGGAAAATCTGATTGCTATCTGTTTACAACTAAAACTCTAAAGAGCAATACGTCGGTGAAATGATGAACTTCCTGGGCAATAAAGGAGCTAAGAGCAAGACAAGGTTGCTTGTGAAACCCTAGCACCAGGGAGACCAAGGCAAGGGTATTGCCCTAAGTATAGGACCAACCTGGGTTACACAGCATGACCTGCCAAAGGAAACACCAAGCAAACACTTGGCTCTGACGGCACATGCTTACAATCCCAGAACTTTGGAGAGTGGTGCAGGGGGAATCACAAGTTCAAGGCCTGTGTGGGCCACATAGAGACCCAGTCTCAAAAAGCCTAAAAGCAATGACAGAGAAAACAGACAGACTGTGGAAAGTTTCCTAAGGACTTTTGCCTGTGTGATCTCGACTCTGGGTAGAAGGGACAAATTACCACAGACACTTCCCAGTGGCAAGCCTTCCCTCGTGATGGGTAAGGCCAGCACCGATGCACTGAAGAGACAGGTGCAACCTGAACTGGAAGACAGTGCCGGTGAGTGACCTGCAGGCAGCCATGTTTGTCCAGTGCTGTTACTTTGATCACCTCTGATTGTTCTGTGGAGCCACACTATGAAAAGTATCATGAAACTTTCGGGATTTGGCTTTGCCTTGTTTTGATTTTTAGTAGACAAAATTACCCTTCTTTTATACGTGGGTTGTCTGTTACCAATCAGGATTGTTAATCTTCATTGCCAACTTTACTGGTTTAGAATCACCTAGGAGACACACTTCTTTGTGTGTCTGGGAGTCTTTCTAGACAGGTTTACGGGATGGAAGAAACGCCATGAGCATGAGCAGGACCATCTCATGGACAGGGCCCCAACTAAATAAAAGAAGAGCCGGCTGAGCACCCGCATCCATCTTTCTATGCCCCCCCCCCCGACTACAGACATAGCGTGACCACTTGCCTGTCACCCCAGCCGCCTCACTATGCGCCCTCACTATGATGGACCGTACTGTCAAACTGTAAACCAAAACAAACCCTTCCTAAATTTGCTTTTGTTAGAGATTGTGCCATAGCAACAAGAAAATAATGAATACACCAACTGCCAGGGTCTTCATTTCTAGACACAATGGGATTGTAGACCTTGCAGGGCTAATGTGAGACACTGGTCCTGAAACTGATGTTTAGTGAGAACTAGTCAGAAACGTCTCTCCTTTCAGTCTGTGTCATTTGTAACTGATGTAGCCAGGCTCACAAAATCTATGTATTAAACGTGATCCACATTCTAACTTTTATATGTAAGTTTACCGCAATGATGAAAATGACAAGTAATTTTAAGAAACACGGGTTACAGGAAGTAAGAAATGACAGGAACCAAACGTGTCCTAGGCATGTCTGTGGAGCAGCTGTCTCCCAGCAGTCTCCACTTAATGATCTTAGAGTAATATTGCCTCTGAGCCACCGGAGACAAAAGATTTTGTGTGAATATTCAGTAAGCCCATCTTTAAGAGCACAAAGTAAAAAGAGTCCCAGGCAAACAGAAAAAGCATATTGCCAGCAGACTCATAGGAAAGGTTGCATCCTAGGAAACAGGAGGAACACAAAGAACATTTAAGATGCAATAAAAACGCTAGGAAAATGGTTCAGTGGGCAGAGTGGTTGCCGCATTCAGACCTGCTGCGTGCTCTTCCCTAGTGCAGTAGAATATTAAGGAGTGTTACTTTTGTTTATGTTGCATTTGTTTAACTCTGTGAAGCTGTGTTACTGTGCCTGTGTAAAACACCTGATGGGCTAATAAAGATCTGAATGGCCAATAGCAAGGCAGGAGAAAGGATAGGTGGGGCTGGCAGGCAGAGAGAAGATATAGAAGGAGAAAACTGGAGATTGGAAAAAAATCTAGCAGCCAGAGAAGGAGGGTTGTGGGGTCCAGCCACCCAGCTACAGGGCAAGCCACAGAGTAAGAGCAAGATTTACAGAAGTAAGAGAATGGGAAGAGCCCAGAGGCAAAAGGTAGATGGATAATTTAAGTTGAGGAAAACTGGCAAGAAACCAAGCCAAGCTAAGCCTGGGCATTCATAATTAAGAATAAACCTCCATGTTGACTTATTTGGGAGCTGGATGGAGGGCCCCCCAAAAGAGCAAAAATAAACAACAATATCCTAGCACCTATGGGAAAGATCTGTATGTGATGGCATGCTCTTGTAATCCCAGCTCTGAGAGGTGGAGACAGGAAAATTCCAGGGCTCCTAGCCATGAGCTCTATATTCAGTGAGAGACTTTATTACAAAAGTAAGTAGATAGGTAGATAGATAGATAGATAGATAGATAGATAGATAGATAGATAGATAGATAGGTAGATAGATAGATAGATAGATAGATAGATAGATAGATAGATAGATAGATAGATAGATAGATAGAGACAGACAGATAGACAGACAGGATCTTAGAGACCAGACAGAGGAATGGATGGCAGTCCCATCCTCTTTCTCCGTGGAGACATCAAGCGCTCACCTGCATGAACTCCACGCTGTTATCCAAGGGAGTTTCCAGGCGAAAGAACAGGAGGAAATTTTCATCCTCAGATAAGAACATACTGGCAAGCTACAGGAAACAAAGAGGAATAGTTGTGAACTCTTACTAGGGTCTATTTGAGAAGTAAACCACGCAGTGCACATATTATAGGGGGTGTTTTCAGAGCTCCCAGCATAGAGAGCCCAGCTCAGCTCTGAGCCCTTGATAGTCAGTCATTAATTATTGGCTCTTTCAAAAAGTACTATATTCCTTTAGATAGAAACTGCAGATCCTCACAATAGAAAAAATAACAGTGGCAATGGTGATGCTGCTGAATTTATCATTTAATTTGGTCTACTTGCTTCTCTAAGCACTTCTGCCATTGAATTGATGGTTCATCTATTGATATTAGAAAGTGTAGCTTTAAGGTTCATACATGCTAACTCAGTCATTTCTGGTTTATTTTATTTTGTTGTTGTTGTTGTTGTTGTTTGAGGCAGAGTCCTAATCTATGGCCCGGAACAGCCTTGCACTTATGACAGTTCTCCTGCCTCAGTGTCTCAAGTGCTGAAATTATAAAAGTGAGCTAGCACACCTGGGTAAATTCAAATAATCTTAACAAGCAGCTATAAGGCACACACACACACACACACACACACACACACACACACACACACACACACCATTACTAATTTTTCTAATTACAGAAATAAAAAAGCTGTCAGAACTGCAGAGCAAGTGGCAGAGTCTATATTACAAATCGACACCCTCCAGCCCACACTGAATGGCCATGCTTTGCTGATCTTGTTCTTCAGCACCAGATGTGGAAGCAGGAATGCCTGCTCTCTACCTAGATTCCAGGGCTCTGGCTGGGGTTTATACCTTAACACAATTAGTGTCTATCTTATACTACACTGTGCAAATGTGTTAATATAGAAGAGCAGTTAATGGTTGATTTACTTCACACGGTCTGTGAACCAGGCAGTGTCCTCTCCCCTAGTGATCACAGCGCTGTCTCAGCGCACAGGCAAGGCTGGCTGGGATGGTTCAAGTGTGTGTTGTCTTCTTTCCCGATTGTCACAAGTAAAGGTGATCTCCTGTGGGTCTTATGCCATGTCACAGAGTGAGTCCAGAATGTACCAGTGACTCACATGCTTGTGGTGTGACAAGCTCACTGTGTATGCTCCACACATACAAAGGTGTAGCATGTCCAATCATTTACAAGAAGTCTTGATAATAATTAGTATCCATAGTTTCTGTTTATATATTTACTACAGTAAGTTCTTCGTCATTTTAGTGTATAGTCTGTCTTTTTAATCACAAAGCTGGAGGGATGACTCACTGGACACAATGCAAATGAAGCATGAGGACCTGAGTTCAAATCCTTAGCACCTCTGTAAAAGCCAGGCGTAGTGACCATGTGCCTGTAACCCTAGTGTTGAGGGGCAGAGACAGACAGATCGTAGGAGCTTGAAGGTCAGTCATCCTAGACAAGACAGCAAGCTTCAGGTTCAGTGAGAGACTCTGTCTGAAGGAAGTAAGATGGAATGCAATTGAGAAAGGCCCTCAACACCCTCTCTGACTTTCACATGAATGCTCATGGGCACACATACATATTCACATACACGTATACACCATATACACAATCCACATACAGACATGGCACAAACACACAATTGCTGTAAAGTTGTAAGCTGTATTATAGCAGCAGCAGCCTCATCCATCTCAGGATTACTACTACATCCCTTGATGGAATCACAGCCATACTGAGTGACTGGCTTGTGCCACCTAAGTCTTGGAAGCATGCTCTCTGAAGTTACACAACAACAAAAATCCCCTAACCATGAATGTCTCCCAGCGTATCCTAAGGGACAAGGGGTGTGTGACTGAAGGCGGAAACTCTTTCTGGACAGTAAACCTTCTAACTGGAGGAGGAACAGTCGGTAAGAAGGGGACTGTGGCAGGCAGGCACTGCATGGCTAAGGCAGCAGCTTGCTTTAGGAGGGGCTTAATAAAAGGGGGCTGAGTTGAAGTAAACAAAGGTATTTGCTGGTGTGTGTTTGTTCGTTGCATTATTGGGAATCAAACGTGGGGCTCTACACCTGCCATGAGCTACATGCTCAACCTTTCGGTTTTGTTCTTTGTTTGGTTGGTTCATTTGGGGGGAGGGGGGTGAGACAGTTTTTCTATGTAGCCCTGGCTCTCCTAGAACTTGCTCTGTAGGCCACACTGGCCTCGAACTCAGTGACCTGCCTGCCTCTGCCTCCTGAGAGCTGGGATGCCAGACATGAGTAACCATGTCTGGCTCCCATTGTCCCTAAAAGGAATGGCTGCTCGTGACTCTAAGGAGGTGGGGTGTGTGGTCGTGGAACTACCTCTTTCATCCATATGCGACCTTCTTTAGAGATGCTGCGGACAGTCATTAACTGTTGTTTCACTCTCCGCACGTTTTCTTCCATACGAGCGTCCTGAAACAAACCATGTGTGAGTATGTTAACGCCACCAGGACCCCAAGCATCCAAAGCATGTAGCCCGATCACCATGTTGCTCTAACCATTTCATGACTTTTCCAGAAGACAGAGCAGTGCCAGACATTTCTTGATCCACCAATCACCTATTAATACCCTGACTAACTAAAACAGATGTAAAGAAGCTTAGCAACCACAGTGGGCATTAAAAGGATGCATTTAAATGTCATCAGCTATTTGGTTGAAAAAAAAAGACTGGGTTATAATTAATGTACAAGAATTCTTTCTGAGAACTCAAAGGTTTTGCTCCTTTTTTTTTTTTTTAACTAAACAGTCCAGCCTTGAAGGCTCTTTGGTTTCTCTCTTGGGGAAAAATAATTGTAAGAGAAAAATAATTAAAAAGGAAAGCAAAGAAATGAAGTAGATGTTGAGTTACTGAAGATATGCCAGGTCCCTCCCATGTGTGACATTTCCTACACACCTGTTTCTCTTCAGACATCTTCCCCAAAAGATGTCAAGGTTAGTGCAGGGAGTATAACATATATAATTAGCAGTGAAGAGTGATTGACACCAAGAACTGAGAGGTAGAGGTGATCCCAAACATTGCCCAATTCTGAATCCATAGATGTTGGACTTTATGCCACATTTCTTCTTCTTAACACTACCCTCAGCTCCAAGTCCATCAGCTATGAATTACCAGGGCCAAAAAGAGGTGTGACTGTTGAATATCTACCATTGGTGCTGGTGTCGTGGTAAGGTTGACTCAGCTTCTAGAGGGCTCCCTGGGAACCCCATTCATCTATACATGTGCAGGGCAGTTGCTTGGTGGCTTTGGACTAACCCAAATGTCCCCCTTTCTCACATGAAATTCTCAGGAATAATTGTAGACAGCGCTGGGAAATAAAAATCTTCAAATAAAAAAGAAGTTTGGAATGGCTAGGCATTCATTACTCCTGTCTCATCCAGAATAGCATGCCCCAAAACACATTTGCCAAACCCAGCTACAAACCCAGGGCACACTGCTTACTATTGAACACCCTCATGTACTTGCCACACATGCTGCCAGCCCCAGGAACGTGACAGCAGGACAGGCCTGGCCTCTGCCCTCCATCTCACGCTGCTGGAGGGCATCTTTGTCCTGTTGTTCCTTCCATCAGACTTCTCTTTAAGAGGTGTCCACAATGGTGAGGAGATAGTAAGAGGGGAAGCTACCTATGTGGAGCTCAGAACAGAAAGGGTGGGCAGGGAAATACAAATTTGGAGAATACCAAATAGGAAATGAGCATGAAGCTAGGGCTTCCATAAAGAACATTTCAGAGCCTTCACAGCAGCTGTGGGAGACAGAAAAATGTCCCTGTACCTTGCAGCCCTTGGCTTCACTATTGACCCCTTGCCATTTTCTTCTTTGAAGGTGTGTTTTTGCACATACACTCGTGAGGGAGTGCATGTGCGTGCGTGTGTGTCTGTGAGCGCACATGCACGCATGCATGTGGTTTGGTTTTCTCTTTTTACTTGACTAACTTATCAGCAGTGTCTTTTTTTTTTTAGGACCAGTCCCTTCAGTTGAGCTGTGTATATGGTGTGTGTTTCCAAGAGTGTAAAACTAGGTTGAAGAGAAACACCAACTCTGTTTTCTCATCTTGAGTTGTCAAAAAAAAAAA